CTGTCTATACTTTGGTTTGATCTTTGATACTATATTATCATTTTGCATGATTGGGATTATAGCATAGTCATGTAAACTATATTTTCATCATTTTATGCTACCAAAATTTCCATCATGAATATGTTTTATAGATGTATAATATGTCAACACAGAAACGTCAGAGAACACCAAGTACTTGAAGAACCTTCCTCCTTTTTATTTACTTATTTTTTGTGGTACTGGGAACTGAACCCTGGGCTTTGAACATGCTAGGCAAGTGCTCTACCACTGAACTGCCTTCTCAGTCCCCAGTCCTTACTGTTAAATATTTAGACTTTAAAATTTTCATTATTATATATAACACAAACATTTTTGTACATAAATATGTATATCTGATTATTTATTTCCCTTAGATAGATACTTAAAAATAGACATTCTAAGTCAAAGAGGAGTATAAACAATTTTAAGGCTTCCTGGAAAGGCTGTATCCTATCTACCTTTATATTCCTACCAAAAGTGAGAGATACTCATTGGCCAATAACAAGTATTACCAGTTTTAAAATATTCTGATTCCATGCAAATCAAGAGGGTGAAAAAAAAAATACAACTCATTGTCTTGATTTGCAATTCTTTGATTACTTAGCTGCATATATATTTCATGCTTCTTAGTCATTTGCATTTCCCTTTCTGTGAGTTGTCTGTCACTGTTCTTTGCTGGGCAGACTTGGTTAACTATAGTCCTAGCAATCCTAGAATTGTCTGTAGAAGATGCCAAAGCTTGGCTTGCATGCATCCACATCTGACAGGAGGCCAGGCTCTGGAGGATTAGGAAGAGAAGAGTCCATGTCAGCATTGCTGTTGCAATGCAGCTAGAAAGGGGAAAGTTTTGGGGAGAAGCCGTTTTGATGTGCCACCTCTATCATACTATTATGTTTTCTTACTCCCAAAGTTTCTCTTTTCTTAAATGGTGCTCTAGCAGAAGGGTTACATTTGGTGTACATTCTTTCAGTATGTGTGCATTGGCCTCATACATGTGCAATGTGTAGTGACCACATTAATGGACTAACAGAAAAGAGCCTGGGAGCTGGAATCAGGCAGGTCATGGGCAAACCCCCTAAACCAGGGGCTCAGTTTGCTTTTCTTTCAGGCATTGGTGGTCGCTCTCCCTTTGAGGAATAAATAGGTCATGAATGCAAAACTCTTGGAACAGTGCCTGACACATCATAAGACTCCTTTTAGCCCAACAATTCTTGACCTGCTTCTGTGTATTTGTCATTGAGTTGGTACTGAGTACAAAAAGGAATCAGGCTGGATGCTTTGCAGCATCTGCATTTCCTGCAGGAGGAAGGTCAGGCTGCTTGTGGACTACAACAAGGCCTTCTCTGACCCCTGCTGTTCTGAGGCCTCTCATTGAGGCCTCTCATTAAGTCCTCTGGCTCCAGCTGTCATGGGTGGGTTGACAGCTCTCTTTAGAACTCTGGACCCTAGCTGCAGTTGGGGGCAATAGGAAAAGTGCCTGTCAACTTTTTGATACACAGCATCACAGCTATAATTTTTATCTTCTCTTTTCTTCTTAACCTTACAATTATTTTCCCTTTATAGTTAAGGGTGATAGATGAAGCCTGTCAGCCTAAGTTTGAATTCTGGTTCTAATACTTACTAAGTGTCCTTGGGCAAGCTGCTTAACCTTTCCTGCCCTCATTTCCTTATCTGTAAAATTTAGAGATTATGCTATGGAGTAAATGTTGTGCCTCCCTAAAATTCCTATGTTGAAATCCTAACTCTCCTCCCCCATATGATGGTATTTGGAGGCCTTTTGGAAGTAATTAGATTGTGAGGGTAATGCCACTGTGAATGGGATTAGTGTCCTTACAAAAGAGACCCCAGAGTTCTCTTATTTCTTCTACCAGGTGAGGATACAGCAAAAGGGCAGCCATCTTTGAACCAGGGAGATGACCCTCACCAGACACTAAAGTTGCTGGCAACTTGATCTTGGATTTCCTAGCTACCAAAACTGTGAGAAATATATTTTTGTTATTTATAATCCACCCAATCCACAGTACTCTGTCACACTAGCCCAGACACACAGAAACATAATAGTACCTACCTTGTAGGGTTCTAAGGATTAAACAATATAACTTATGTATATTTAATAGCAATAGTAAGAGCTCAATTATCTATTATTAATATTTGTTATACTGTCTTGATAGCCACCCTTATAATGACATAATTAAATTGAACAGATACAATAATCCCTTTCTCTGATGTTCGATAGTTAAGGTATTTCCAATTTTAAAACTTAAACTAAAATATTATTCCTAAGAATAAAACAGTCATCTTGTGGTTTAGAGAAAAGAGCAATCAATTCAAGAAGTAAATGTTGAATCAACAATAGTACATTCAAGTTATCTTCCAAAAAGCTCAATATTTTCTCTATATATTCCGGGTTAATTATCCCACCTGAGAAGCTCATTGTGGGTGATTCTTACCTGAGGCAGGGCTGGCCTGGAAAACTTCTAGTCCTTTACTGTGCTTCTTCTGGCAAAGAAGCTGCATCAGCTTTTCTCCCCAACTGCCAGAGAATCTCTGATACAGCGCAGCTCAGGGCCAGGCCAGCAATTTTAGGTATCATTTGGAAATATCTAGGAGGGCAAGTGTTGGGGCATATCACCTGATGGGGAGGTTATGAGACAGAGGTTTCTGCTTTGCTCCTTCAGCCAGCAAGGCTCAAAGTTAGCAATGATATTACTGAAACATAAGCCTACATGGACTGAGCACTGTCTGGGTGTCAGGCTCTGTAAAAATGTTCTCTTGCATCCTTAGCTCAAATAAGTGAGAAAAGATTTATTGGCCCCATTTTATAAATGAGGAAGCTGAGGGTCAGAGGGGAAACAGCCTCAGAGAGGGGACCTCTAAGGTCATGACTCAGTCTGACTCTGAAGACACAAGTTCTTCCTGTGGGCACCGCAGGATCTCTTCAATTTAATCAGCAGGGACCAAGGCTCACATTGTATTGCTCCTGCTGGGGACTGAGAAACAGCCTAATGGGAGAGACAGGTGGATGCATGCCTGTGAGAAGAAATAAAGCAATGTAGGTAGTTCCAGTTCAATTTATCCCGTTGCATATATTTCTGAAAACTATCTTTAATCCTTCTAGGAAGAGGCAGGGGAGAGGTAGATTGATAGATCAGGGCTGTCATCAATGACTAAACAAAGGACAGTGAGGAAATGGGGAGGGAGAGATTAATTCCTGTTCAGAAATCCAGAGAAGTCTCTGAGAGGATGTGGTATTTTGCTTGGGGCTGGGAAGCCCAGAAGAATCGGCTAGAGAATATAGGGAAGGGGCATGCCCAGCCACTTCCTGAAGAGAAGTAAAAATAGAACCTTGTTTAGTGCTTGCTAAATATTGGTCTTGAAACCAGAAAACTCGCACACCCTTCTCATTTGCCCCCTCTTCCAGACACAGACCTATCAAGACACATTCAGAGATAACCACAAATGGAAAACATGAGAATGCATAAAACACCTACTAATACAGACACACACAGATTCAGACACACATGAAAACAGATACTGGCTCCCATGTTCCTAGACTCAGATACATATAATACTCATACACAGACTTATATGAACATGTTTATGCTTTAGTATACAAGCACATACAGATTCTCTCCCCACTCCCTCGCTATTCATGGAGGCAAATGAATGCATGCTTTTCTTAACATACACAAGTTCACACACAAATCTCATTCTGCTGGTCTGGTTGGAGGCCAATGACTAATGGGAAACCATGTTCAAAGGCAAGCATTGCACAGGAGAGGCCAGTACTGGGCTAGTGATGAGGCTGGGATTAAACCTGTCAGATGACAAACTCGCCCTGCCTGCCTGCCCCTGGAAGCTGCTCAGCGGAGACAGTAGCGCCTGACCTAGCTGGATCCTGGGCAGATGGTGCAAGGCTGCTGCTTGATCTCTAGCTTTATCTGGGGTTTAATGTCACCCAGGGTCAGGCTGTGATGTCAGCCCCACCCCAATCCTTGCAACAGGCAGGAGGCTATGGGGACACAACAGGGTGGAGGCCTCCAGCTGCTTGCTAACTCTAGGCTTGTCCTGACACAGTGCACTGAGGGTGGTTAGCATTAATGAGGGTTTACAGCAGTGGGCCAGACAGTAGGTTGAGCCCTTTACGCACACTGCTTAATCCTCACAACAGCTCTGTGAGGAGGGTAGGATTGGTCCCATCGTCTCCATTTAGTGGTGAGAAAACGGCGCCCAGGCCACAAAACCACTCAGCAAAGGAGACAAAAAGCTGAAGTTCATCCTCGAGCAATCCTATTCTCCCCAGCGCTTGGAGTAAAGTGTGCGGGTCAATCTGCCTACCCCACGCCACAAGCTTGCACCTTCTGCTCCTGACGGCTCTCCAGATCTCGCGTCCACCTGGCCCACAGCAAGTGCCTGGGGAGGACATGGGTCTTGTGTCAGGGAGGCTCTCAGAGCAAGGGCCTCAGTTTCCTCATCTCTGAAATGGAAGGACAGCGCAGACCTCTCTGGGCCAAGCTCCCCTGGACAGCACGGGGAATGCTGAGCTCTACATTCTTGCCGCTGCCTTCCTCGCCCATCCTGGGGCTGCAGCCTCAACAGCCCAACCCCGGGCCCCAAGAGCCCTTGTGCGGGTGCCGCGCGGGCGACCCATTGTTCAGGAAGGCGGGGACACTCCAGAGAGCGGATTCCCCGCCCCAGGTTGCATTCGCAGACCACTAGAAGAGTCGACTTGTGCCGGCATCTGCCGCACCGGGCGCGTCCTTTGTCTGCTCGGCTGTGCCCGGGTGTCCGAGGCCCGCGCCCCGCTCTTCTGGCAGACAAAGCGGAGGAGCCGCGAGCCGGGACGGCAGGAGCGGGGCTTGCACCGCCCTCTTCCCGCCTTTCGCACCGCCCCCTCCCCTCGACGTTCTCTGATTGGTTTGTGGGGCTACAAAGAGGCCGGGAAGCGGGTAGGTCACGTGGGAGGGCGTGACTTCCCATTGGTTGGGCGAGGCTGTCAGTCGAGGAGGGCGGGCTGTCCGCGCTCGGCCGAGTCTCTCCCTCCGCGCTGGGGCCCGCCCGCGGGGCCGGCCGCCTGTCAGAGGGAGGTGGTGATGGTGCACACGGTGGCGGCGACGGCCCTCGGTCGGATGGCAGGGAAGAGAAGATGACTGGCCCAACCGACTAGCTGAATGAATGAATGGCGAAGCCGAGCGCGCCATGAGGAGCCTGCCGAGCCTGGGCGGCCTCGCCCTGTTGTGCTGCGCCGCCGCCGCTGCCGCGGCAGCCTCGGCAGCCTCGGCGGGGAATGTCACCGGTGGCGGCGGGGCCGAGGGGCAGGTGGACGCGTCGCCGGGTCCGGGGCTGCGGGGCGAGCCCAGCTACTCCTCTCCTGAGGCGACGGCTCCCACGGCCCAGGCCCCGAGGACCGGACCCCCGCGCCCTACTGTCCGCCGACCCCCGGCTGCGACCTCTCCATCCCGGTCTCCGGAGACCACCCCTCCTCTGGCGGCGACCGGACCCGCGCTGACCACCTTCCAGGAGACCACCCCTCTGGAGGCGGATCTCACGCCCACTGCCCCTCGGGCGCCGACTAGTCCTGCGCCGACCACCCTTTGGAGCACCACTGGCCTGGCGCCGACCACCCCTGTAGCGACCACTGTTCTGGCGCCGACTGCTCCCCGGACCCCGACTCCTGGTCTCCCCAGCAGCAGCAGCAGCAGCAGCAGCAGCAGCAGCCGCCTCCTGCCCACCCCACCTGTCACCGAGGCCCCTTCTCTTCCTCCCCGAGGTGAGTCCAGCGCTGCCTTCGCTGCAGGATCCTCTCAGCGGCTGCCCATCCTTACCCCGCCCGGGGCAGCAGCTGGGGATGGATGCTTGGCTGGAACTCGTCATTTCTTGGTCTAAAGGCTCCCCGCATTTTGGCTTCCAAGGGGAGGGCCAGGCTCCAGCTATCCCCCTCTCCCCAGTCCCCACACCCCCTGGCAAATCTGGACAGTCGTCGCCCCCCACCCCCTTCCCCCTTCCCGGGCTGTGCTCCCTTGGGAGCGAGGGGCTGCTGTGTGGAAGGCATCGCATCTCTTTCCAAACAGGGTTTTCTGGCCTTTGTCAGAGACCCAGAATAAGCACAAACTTTTGGGTTTGGTTAGCTCACCTGGCCACCCAGACTGGGTTATTTGGGGAAGTTTGAAAACCAGCATAGTACCTCCATCAAGTCATAGGTCAAAAGCTGAGTATAAAGGATCCCTCCCAAAGCTATGATTTCCTTGTTCATTTCTTCTTGTTTATGTAAATATCAGATGTGTGTGTGTGTGTGAGACAGGTGGAATAGAGGATTGTGAGAAGATTTTGTTTACAAATAATATAGACCATTTAAGGCCAAACAACAAAAAAGGCATTGTAATCCATATTTTTCTTTACAAATAAGTAGCTTCACTAGGCCATGTGGCACAGGTGTATCTAGGTTGAGCACGTTTTAAAATTAGGTTAAATTCTTTTTTTGCACCACTTTTTTCTTTCTCAATTACAAGGTCAGTATGTTTGTACCAATACAGTTTAAGCAGCACTGCTCATCTTTGTTCCCTTAAACTACTGCAGGATACTGACAAATGCCAATTTCTCTTTGAGTTCACCTAGAAAATAGGGCTCCTCATCTTGCTGACTGAAGTCTTCAAGCAAAGTTAGAGGTGACTCCTATTCTTTTCCCTTTTATATCTAAAACAGGCCTGAAACTAAAGAAAAGCTACCTTGTCAAGATGTTAGGCAAGAGTTTCTGAGTTCTTTTGCTTTGAGTTGGGGTGGAGATTTGTCCAAAGTACTTGTTTAGCTGTGTCACTCACCTAATTCTTAGGCTCAGTGGTTCACTAAGGAGTCAGGTATGGACTTTGGACTATAATTGAGTTTGTGGAGAATTTTCCCACATGATTATGAGCCTTAATACAGCCTTAAGTTTTGGGTTGGAGCTTGGCAATGACATAAGTAGTTAGTAGGAATGCAAATTATTTACCCCCCAAAAGCATCTCTTTCAGCTTCAAAGAAGGTGTTAACTAGCTGTTCTCTTTTTAAATCTATCTTTTATAATCTTTGGCCCTTGTACAGAGAGATTGACATATTTTTGAGATAGGAAGCACAGTGGTTGAAAGTATGGATTCTAGAGTCCATTCTTAAATTTTAATTCTGGCTTTGCCCCTTATTTGTTATGTAAGCTTGGACAGGTACTTAACCTCTCTGGCCTCAGTTTCTTCAACTATGAAATGAAGACAATAAAAGTACTTGTCTCATAGGATTGCTCTGAAGATTAAATAAATTAATACAGCTATAATGCTTAGAATAATTCCTGGTGGCAAATAAGCACTGTGTGTGTAAGTTATGCTTATGACCAAGGCTTTTTTTAGTAGGTAGTAAAGCATTTGAGAAACCCAGTAGGGACTTGTGATTTTTAAAATTTGTTGTGGTAAAATAGAATAGAAAAAATATGAATTAGTCGTTTTTTGGAGTTTCAAGTCACAGTAGCAGCACTTAAATAGCAATTGGTTACTTTGGGTAGTATTTGATAAATAACTCTGTGTATTGCTGTTATTTTACTTTCATTATTTTTAAAACACAAAGGTAACCCTTACTGGTAAAAAGTACCCCCAAACCACAAAACAAAACAGAAGTCTACAAAGGAAAAAGTGAAAGTCATTCCCCTAGTTCCAGTCAGTCCCTAGAGGCTACTAATGTTTGCAGTTTGTCAGATCTTTTTTCAAACATTTTTTTTTCTGGGCATGTATGAACATATACACAGTATTTTAAAATAATTGTTTAAAAGCTAAAATGGAGTAATTCTATCATACTGTTTAGCAATTTGCCATATTCACTTAACTATGTATCCTGGAGTTGATTTTTTTTAAACCAGTACTTAGGGTCTACTTTTTTTTTCCTGTGCTGAGGATTGAACCCAGGGCCTCGTGCATGCTAGGCAAGCCTCTAATACTGAGCCACATCCCTACCTTTACCTTATTCTTTTATAGTAGTTGCTCTCTCCATTGTCAGAATTTATCATAATCGACTTAACCAATCTCTAATTTGTAGACAATAAAATTGCTTCTGCCCCCCACTTTTAAAAAAAAGCATAGGAAAGAATGTATTCTTGTTAGGTCCGTCATATATTTATTGCATTTTCCAGTACTTTGAAGTTTCTTAGATTTCAAATCAATTTCAAGTGAAGCTGAGTTGATTAATATTTGCCATCTGAACTATAAGGTTTTTAGTAACCCTGTGGACTAACATATATTTATATCTTTAGTGGTCTTTTGGTAATAGAAGTTTTAAGGCATCCAACTCCAGTCGCTTTCCTGTGTTTTAAATATTCTGTAGTTTGTACTTTTCTGTGAACTCACTGTGGATTGCCTGTGTCTAGTTCTCAGCAGCTTAACTGATGTTGTGGGCCTATTGATAGGCAATTTTAGCTTTACAGTGATATAATTGAGTACAGACATTATCCGAGCATGAGCTCTAGTCTACTTCAAATAGTAAACATATCTCCTTATCAGAGGATAACTTCAATTTGAATTTGAAAGATCATGTTTGGCTTGCAAAGTTGGATTCCCTGGCATTTGGAAAGATGGTCAGACCGTTTTTTTTTCCCCCTAATTTTCAATATTCCTATAAGCACAGAGTGCTATTAATGATATATTATTTGATTGGGTAGGTCTTATGGTGCCATTTGAATTAATGAGAATTTTTTGTCTATTTCTCAGTTAGGGTTTGTTTTGTTTATAGAGGTCCTGATCTGCAAACTGAAACTAATTGCCCACAAGCAGGCACTTTCCTCCCACAAACCTGGTAGAATATTCGGTTGATTGGCTAGCTGGCTGGCTAGGGTATTTTAAGAAGGGAGAAAGGAGGTGCTGTGGTTCTAGAGAGTAATAATAATCAGCAGTAAGACACTGAAGTAAGGACAAATGTTTGATTTGTTAAAAATATAGACCTTCAGGGCTTGGACCTTAGAAGCCACAATCTCCTAACGTAGCTCTGTATTTTAAGAAAGACTTCTATAGACTTAGCTGTAGTTAATACTTACTGGTCTGGTTCTTCCACTTGTCTGTTCCTCTGTGCCATGGCAGTTCTTCAGGGATTTGGAGACAATGATCGTGCTCCAAGTCTAGGCTAAATAACTTCTGCTCCTTCAACTGATCTGTATGACATAGTTTCATATTCCTTTACTATTTCTGCACTTTTTCAATTTTTCTGTGACTCTCCAAAAATGTGGAGCAGATGTGAACATAATACTGCACATGTGCTCCAACTAGCTCGCGGCAGAGAGGGCAGTTACCCCATTCTTTCTGGATGTGCTTCTGATGATGTAGTTAGTCCCCAGTCAGTCGCTTTTTTGGCAGCTGCATTATGTTGTTGACTCATTGACTCCAGAAGATAGCAGTCTTTTTACTTTTGTAAAAGTGTGTGTGAGATGAGTGTTCATTCTGGACTTGGGCATTCTGGTCATTTTCTAAGATATAATCTGAGACATTTACCAACTTTATAAGACTGATTGTGTTAAGTTCAAGTCATCCTTTTCAATTCCTAGTCTGTCAGTATACTCCACCCAGTTTCTTCACCTTACCTGCAGGGTGTTCCTCTAGTCAGAGCCTAAGGACAAGTCAGGGCAGGTTATTCTTACCTCATAGGGGAGAGAAAATTTATAGATGATAAGGAGTGCAGAAGGGAAGGAATAACAGTTCAGATTAGTTCTCAAGGGTCTCTTTCAGCTCTAAAGTTCTGTGATGCTTTGATATACATGATTCAAGGAACATTGATCCCTCCAAAGAGCCTTAATTATTTGTGATTGAAGTTATGTCAGTAGACTTTCTTTAAGCAAACCGTAGAATTTAGAGTTTGAAAACTCTACAATGATATGTAAGTAAAATATTGTAAATGTATTCTATTGAAAAGAATATTCTGGGAACCCAAGGCCCTCCTGACTGTGCTGGGAAATGCTGTCTCATCCTAACATTTTCTACTGCTAAGTTCAAGGTCTTATTATTTGTAGTTATTTAAGAAAATGGCATTTATTTTAAGGAGATAGAAACTGTACGTGGTCTAAAGATAATATAGATTCACAATCTAAAAGCTGTGGGGCTAGCTGTATTTGAGAATTTTTCAGGTTTTAGGAAGTTCATAATACATCCTGGTGAAGATTTCTGGACAACATCCAGTAATCAAATACATTAATAAGATATCCCTAGCAAAATGCCAGCAGAGTGGGATTAATGGAGATTCTAAGTAGGCTTGCATTTGATTAGGTCAGGATTTGCTGCCAGATGCATTCATGGCAGGGCAGGTATTGGCTACAATGTTACAAACTAAATTAAAATTTACAAACTAAAATTTTTAGTTTTGGACCATCTGATACTTGGCATTGGGTTTGAGAGATGTGGATCATTGTAATAGAAATTGCAAATGCACTTTTCTAAGTGTCATATATATATATTAACTCATTTACTCCTCAGAACTATTAGGTACCATTATCCTCATTTCTCATTTTGGTAGGTTTTTGTTTTGGTGCTGAGGGCCAGATCTAGGGCCTTGGGCATGGTAAGCATATGCTGTACCAGTTAAGCCCCTATCCTCATTTTATAGCTCAAGAAATTGAGGCCCAGAGAAGCCATTGTTCTTTGGAATTCATTCCATTGTGTGGTATTTACTCACCTCCAGTTTTTCTGTCTTGTGACTGTAATATTAATTCATTGTTCTTATTTTTTGGACTAAGTTTGTCTGTGAGGGGTGAATTTGAATTCTTTTTAGGGGTAT